GAGCTTAAACTATTTATAGGAAAACACTGCTACAGTACAGTGATCAGGGGGAAAAGGAACCCTACAAGACGGAAAGACAGTCGGACTCCAAGGTTACACACCAACTGTCAAGATCGACAAGAAGCTTTGCCTTTTCCCTGCTTTATAGCATAAATCCATTTTTCCTGCCTCTCTGAAAACATTAAACTATTCTCTTACTTTTTACTTTGTCGATTTTGACATCTAATAGATGTAAGACATACAACAGCTACAAAGCTGTCTGAAGCAATAATCCAAGTTATTAAAGTACAGGTCTATTTTTATGCAAAAGTCATGAATTTATTGAGCCTTAATGTCTCTTAGAAAAACAGATAGTACCAGAACAAGCCTTACTTTAAATATAGCTTGTATATGCAGATTTAATGCTACAAGGATACAGAGTTAAAACTATATCCTTCTAAGACTTGGAATACAAAAGCTATGCTCCTTGCATACTGGGTTAACTACTAAAGATAGCCAGGGTTAGGGTTAAAGTGAACTCTCTTTAAAAACAGTTCAATCATGCATCATTTATTACAAAAGAAATACAACTGCCAAACCAATATAATAATAATAATAATAATAAATCAATAAATATATATATATACATAAACCTGGTATTGCCAATAGGAATGTGAAAAAAATCTATTCCGTTTCTAATGGCCATCTTGTTATTTGAGTATTTATAATTCACTATAGTAACTTCAAAATTAACATTTTTTGTATTTGAGGCATGTGATTCTATAAATCAGGTAAAGCAATACTGAAAGAGCTGAAGCATGTGTAGGATCGAAAGCAAAAACAGGATAACTTTTGCCTAGCCAACAGACTCTGAAAGCACGACTGTTAATGTGAACAGTTTTCAAAAATACAGCCTAACACATAACATTTTTAAAAAATACTACCTCTTTTTTAGATGAGAGTAAAAAGGCAATTTCATAATGATTGAAAATTTATTTCTGATTGGTGCCTATAAGCAATGGCAAACAAAAAAGCTCTGACATTTGATGGTTGAGAGTTCATTAAAATCTTGCTTGCTTCTCTTTTGGGATGTTGTTTTCCAGCTAAACATGTGAGTGTGGGCAAAGTAAGACACTCAAAACATGTCTGTTACTCCAAAAAACCTTAAATCAGACTTAGGGAACTAAGAGACCACAGTGTCAATTCTTTTTTAAAGTATATCTACAGTTAAAGAATCTATATCTACACATGTGACATATCCCTATTTAGTACATTTTTAAACACTAAGGATTCTAGAGCTCTACCATAACTCAGCATGAGAGGCAACAGAACAGACACAGAGAGGGAAGACAGCAGTGGGAAGAAATGGGAAAGGGATTATAAAGTAAAGGATTGTTGTACAGAGGCAGGGAGAACAGGGAATGAGATAAGAGATGGATGAGCAGCAAAGGTCCCACAAAGGAAAAAAAAAATCACAGGCAGGTAAAGAAAGGCTGTGGAAGGCCAGCGTCCTGTAGGCCTTGTGAATCATTGCCTGGTGTCAGCGGGCCTTATGAGCCTGAAGCTTACCCATAAATTGTGGACACAGATCCAGGAGAGACGGTGAGCAACTTAGACTGGTCTGTGAGGAGATTCATTGTCTACACTTTATCAACCATTTCCATGACCTCAGGGACCGGTTACATGATTATCTTCTGTAAGAAACTGTAGCCAGTTTAAACATGCAAAAGTTTGGGAAATTTCTGTTCCTGTGAATAGTTAAATGAGCAGAAGATGATCTCCAAATGGCATAAAATTAAAGAGGAAAATTCTAGTCTATTATTTTTGTTTTGCACAATTATAAAGTGAAAAAAGGAAAGGAGCACCATTCAAAGGTTTGAACACCCAAAGAGATATGAGCTCTCAGATAACTTTTACCAAAGTCTCAGACTTTATTAAACTTGTTAGGCCTATAGCTTCTTCATAGTCATCGCTATAAAGGCCAGGTGATGCAAATTTCAAAGCTTTAAAAACACTCTGACTCCTAAAATTTTGTTCCAAGAATTAGCGGAAAATGATAATGACAATGAAGAAGGAGAAGGCTATAAGAAGGTAGCAGTGTGTTTTCAGGTAGCCATTTCTTCAGTTTGTAATGTAATTAAGAAATGGCAGTTAACAGGAACAGTGAAGGTCAAGCTGAGGTCTGTAAGACCAATAAAATTTCAGAAAGAACTGCTCATAGCATTGCCAGAGAGACAAATCAAAACCCCTGTTTGACTGCAAAATACCTTCAGGAGTATTTGGCAGGCTCTGGTTGGTGGACTGTTCTACTGTACAGTGACACCTGCACAAATGACCTTCATGGAAAAGTCATCAGAAGAAAAACCTTTGCTGAGTCCTCACCACAGCATCTAAAAATGCCTGATGCATTTTGGAAACAAGTCCTGTGGATTGCTGAGGTTAAAATAAAACTTTTGAGCAAAGGTGTGTTTGGAGAAAAAAGGGTACAGAATTTCATGAAAAGAACACCTCTCCGACATTAAAGCACTGAGGTGGATTGATCAACGCTTTGGGCTTGTTTTAAAGCCAGTGGCACTGATGATATCTCTAGTAAAGGGAAGAATGGATTCAATTAAATACCAGTAATTTCTGGAAGTAAACGTCACACCATCTGTAAAAAAGCTGAAGATGAAAAAGACTGGCTTCTATAACAGAAAAATGATCCTAAACAAACCTCAAAAGCCACAATGGACTACCTCAAGAGGCACAAGCTGAAGGTTTTGCCTTGGCCCAAAAGAGCGTTGCATGCAAGACAGACCAAGAATCTCACAAAACTAGAAACCTTTTGCAAAGAAGAATGGGCGAAAATATCCAAACAAGAAGTGAAAGACTCTTAGCTGCTACAAAAAGGGTTTACATGCTGTGATACTTGCCAAAGGGGGTGTTATGAAGTACTGATCATGCGGGGTGCCCAAAGTTAAGGTAAAAGATGGATATACAATAGTAATGTTTTTTTTTTACTTATTTTTGGGGCATTTGTATGCCTTTATTAGATACTGAAAGTGGACATTGACAGGAAACATGGGAGAAAGAGTAGGGGAACCCACAGTAAACGGTCCGGCCAGCCAGGAGACAAATCGGGGACTCCGGCATTTGTGCCCCATGTGGTATGTGCCTTAACCATTTGGCCTACCATTATCTCATTGGTTAGGACACCAAGACATGCTTGAGAAAAAACTGCTGGAAATGTGTGCAGGCTTCTACAAATTTGCACGACTTGGGTTTCAACACATGGAGCCAATTACACAACCAACAGGTGGCATAGATATTTTGGGCCATTACAGAAATAAAGAGTTGAGTTCCCATTAAATTCATGCTTAACAGTCATGTGGGGTCTAAACATAGACGTAGTGACAGGCAATTGTTTCCAGGGCCAAAATCATTTGCCTCCTTCTTACTTTTAGCAGAGCTGGTCTAATTCTCAGTTACAGCTCTCCCATCACCCACTCAAGTTCATATTATTGGAAACACTGACATCAAGCTGAAAAAACGAGAAGAAAAACACACCAGCCAGAGCATTAGAGCAATGATCCGTCTCTAGTTCAATACGGTAACAGGAGAGCAGGCTAAAACAATCAGCTTTCCTTTCTTTCTCTTCCCTTCTCCCACCGGTGTCGCCCAAAATCAGCCAAACATCTGCCATTCCTTCCCAGCAGAAAGGAAGGTCGTTTGTTTCCAAGCCGAGATCACTCAGTTATACAACCTCTGGACGTGTTTTGGTACGACTGCTCAGACAGGATATTACAGAATAGCACAACACCATCTTTTCCCAACTGGAAGCTGGTCATCAGGGCAGAAACAGACAATAACTGGTGTACGAGACTAATCCAGATGAGGTTACCTAGTCAATCAGACAATCCACAAACATTAAGAACATTCCAATCCAATCACTTTAACTTGGTGTTAGACCGACTATTTGGTTTATAAAGTTTAACAATCCCTCTGTTGAGATTTTAGGCTTCATCATCTCGTTCCTCTCTAACTCTTCAACTCAGAATAGCAGATTTAATTGGCCCAGTATTTACTGAAGCCCTGAGCTGTGTATTATAAGTCTAAGTTGGCTAGCCATGGAGAGAGAAATACCAAGGCTAGAGTCTACAGACTCCTGCTAAAGTGTCTGTGACAAAGACACCAGTCCCGTATCACTCAGCCTCACCACTTCTTTATTATTGCTGTGGGTTAAATTATCCACTCCTCTTTTATCGACTTGCAGTTTCTGAAGTGCTAATTTCCCTGCTTGTCAGAAGAGGAGCTGAAAGACTAATGCACATTCTGGGCTCACTGTCAGTATACACATTATATATAGCATTTACAATCAAATAATAAAAACATAGGAATATAAGCGTACATCTTCTCTGTAAAGTAAGACTCTCAGGCCTTGGCATATTAACTGATATAATCTTCGGAGACCGAATCATTAAAGGATCTAATTGTTCACTGGTTGATAGATGATCGTGCCAAAGTCTTATGTCTCAAGTACCGGCAGACTGAGCAGACAATCAGTCTTGAATGATGCACTCCGCTCTGTATAGCACGTTCTACCTGTGATGGAAGCTATTTATGGACTGATGGGGCCAGAAATAACTGAAAACCACAATCAGCTCTGAGCAGATCTGTTTTCAGAACATAAAACTCAGATTTTTTTTTCAGTGCATTTTAGTAGCCTGGAGAGAGAGGTCACTTTGTCTTGTGCGATGTATGACAAAGGATAACGAGGTGGACATGGTCCTGACATGAATGTGAGGTCACTTGCTCTAATGGTGGGGCGTGTGTATGCATGTGTGTGTGTGTGTGTGTGTGCTCGGGGCTAACTGTGTCAGTGTTGTGCTGGTGTGAGGGAGTATCACTGTCCAGCAAGTTACATGAGGCAAGTCGTTCCATTGCAGAACAAGTATGTCTGATTGCTTTCACACCGCGGTGTGTAATGTGTCTGGAATTTTTTTGACGAATATGTACAAACGCACATGAACATTAAACTTTACCATTCTGTTCATCCAGCTCATTGCCAATCTCCTGGCCCATTATCTTCTGCCGGCTGATGACAGCTGCTAGTGCATCCAAGCCTGCATCCTGGGCTGAGAAGAGAGGGGAAAGAAATTTTTAAATATTACACAGACAGAGAAAGAAAATGCCAGAAAACAAGAGAAAAATAGAGAAGAGAGAAAAATACTCAAGGAAAATAGTCAACGTGACTACCAAAAGAGTTGCACAAGAATCAATTTGTGATTTAGCAGGGGGGGTACGACAAACAATAAAGTAATGCTGCAATTCTTTTTTAAAAAGTCAACTGTAAGAAAGGAGCCATTACAGTATACACCACTGATCATATAATGAGGCAACTATTTGGGAAATAGGAATGACAGGCTGTTGGGGTCCAGCTCAGCTCACAGTGCCACATGTGAGTCATTCAGTACTTTACCCCACTCAGGCTTACTCCTGTTATTATAACTGTGGCAGGCCAAGGTGGAGAAGAAAAACAGTGAGGCAGGAGAGGAGAGGAGAGGCGCGGAGAGGAGAGGAGAAGAAAAGAAAAGAAAAGAAAAGAAAAGAAAAGAAAAGAAAAGAAAAGAAAAGAAAAGACGATTTGGCCTCTGTAGGTTTCCAAGTTTGACACACTCTCTGCCACAGGAATTTTTTATGACCGCAGGTTCAGGCGCTCACCATTACCCAACTCCACCAGAAATCCCACAGGGGACTAGAAACCTCCATGTGGTTTGGTTTCACTGTCTTAACAGGAATCTCTGATCCCAAATCGACAATAACCAGAGCCGTAATGGAGACATAGCAATGAAGTGTCACATGGAGTCAGGTGAACTAACGTCTGGGTGTTCAAGTCATGTCAGCCAGGAAACAGGAAAAAGGAGGCAACGGCTTACAATATGTCTTCAAGATGATCGGTTTTTACATGTTAGCATAGATCAGTTGATGTCCAGTGTAGAATGCTCTTTTATACATCAGTTGTACCTTCTCACTATGTCCCCATTGTGTTTACTTTACAGTTTCTGACTGGCAATGCCTTCATCAGTGCCCTTGATAGACAAAAGGCAATGTAACACACACATATTAAGAAATTTTATATACATTTATGATGGGGCTGTCATACTGTATATGTTAGTGAGGTACATATAAAGGCAAATACGAGTTACAAATATTTTCCCGGTGAAAAAGGATAATGTTAAAACTATGGATGGGTGCTACCCCCATATTTGGTCTTGATGTTAATTTATGAAAGAGAAACAAAACAGCATACTTGAAAATATGTTTGCACAATCACGCAATGGAACATACTGTCAGAAAGACAAGCAGTTTATCTGAAAAAATAATCAATTTTGGCTGTTATTCAACCATGTGTAATTACATTCAATGATTCGTTGTTGCTGCTGTTTGATCTCCCCAAAGGTCAGTCCTCTGGTCTCCTCCGATTCGTTGATCAGCCAGGGGTTGGCTGCAACGCCTCCACTCGCCCCTGCCCCTCCAGCCATCAACGTCGACCTAGGAAACATCATCATAACAATACCTAGTTTACAAAATGTTTCAAACAGCTGTTCAAGTTTCCTTTTATTCAAAACAACAGGGCTATCATAAAAAATAAAAGAATTGTTTTGGAGACCATGAAATTACTATTCCTGCCAAAAAAGCAGAGCTGTTAAAGTATCAAAGACAAATCACCCAAAAGTGCACTACAATTTAAAATGGATTTCAAAAATACTTTTTTTGTCTGTCAATCACCATTCCAGTGAAACAAGTCTAAAACACTCATCATGTATTAGTGAGCTTTGGCTATATAAGTAAACACAGTCAATATGCCTGGTTGGGATAGGGGTACAATACACATCTGTATAACTCTTACAGCAAACACATCTGTACAGAGCATGTTCCATTCTTCAATACTGTACTCTTTAGAACATTTTATGACAACAAAACCATTCACATCAAAGAAGAAAAAAGTATTTATATGCTCATTTTGTCTTTTAAGTTTTTTTGAATGATTGAAAAATACCAGGTTAGTTTGCACAGTGTGTAAACAGTGCATGTTAATCTGTCACAGGAGTGTGGACTGCTGGGGAGGCTTTGCTCTGACAAAGTGACAGACCAGAGAACTCACTGTGCTGTGCAGTACTAAACACCGCTGTGTGGTTTAAAAACTATTTTTCTGCTAATAGTTTAAAGCTGTGTTTCAGAACCCCCACCCCCACCCCCCCACCCATGGCTGTCTTGCAGTGATGGGTTCAGGGTCTCTGTGTAAGGCTGGATTTAACTATGTCTGTTGAGAGCAAGTCGTCTGGTGGTCAACCCCTGAAAAATTGACCTGAGCCATATGTTGGTTTATCAGTGACTATGGAAATAATACTACCACTATAACATACTATGAGTGTTTGCTGTGGTTTTGATGTCCAGTTAGCAAAGTTCAGTCTTTCAGTCAGCCAGTCAGTAAATTCAAATTAAAAAATGAAAGCCTTTAAATGTCCTTCTTTTGCTTGATTAATCTCTTTTTTTCATAAAAAATGTATAAAACTGCTTTTATCTCACCCAAACTCATGCATCTCACTGTGTTTCACTGAAGTGGTCAGTAAAGCATTGTGAGACCATTCATAAAGCTGGTTGGCTGAGCCTGATACCATCAGAGGAGTAGGTGAAACAAGGCATTCGGTGTAATCTCTCTGACATGTTTGATTACTATGACGCTGTGTGCCAGCCCTCCACTTCCTCCATGCAAGTGCCCAGTGTGTGAAGATCCAATTAACCAACCAGTGGGGAGCGCCAAAATCAGTCAGGCACATCTCTTGGCAGCAACAATCTCTTGGCCTGAGCACTCAGGTCCTGACTGAGTGACTTGAACAGGCGAGATTTAACTAATTACAACTATTTCCAGTGCAATCACATACAAAGGAGAGGTTAGTGAATAATGAAGGAAAGGTGGGTCCGAGAGGCAACGGGGTGAACTCAGCCTTCAAACCTAGGCGCCATGTCCTTTTTTTCCTTAGTCTGAAATGGAGATGCTTAGAATGTATTGTTTCCAGGATAGATTAAAGTCCCCTCTGCAACCTCCATCTCTTTTCTTCTATCCAAAAAAAAAAAAAAAAAAAAAAAAAAAAAAAAGAGCGAAAGAGCGGCTTAGGTTATCCAAGCATGGTCAATCCACCCCCTCCTACATTCTGTCCGTCCTCAGAGACCACACAGTGGGAATGGGTCCTACTCACAAATCCAAATTACCCACCACATATCACTATTAAATTTAGGTCACACTGAGCAAACTAAAAACCATACGACCACATGATTACAGTTTGCCAAGCTAATTTATTAGCAAATGTCATTTGAGAATTTTTTTTACAGAGCCTTTTATGTAATTGGGTGTGTGGTCTGTAAAAAGATGAAAGCCTGTGCAAAGCACTGCTAAGCAGACCAATCCCAAAACCAAAGCTTGTGAAGATATCAGAAAAATGCAGTCTCTTATCGAGGCATCAGTAAAAGTGTTCCTCTAAACTGTGATGCTTGGTCTCATTCTACCGTCATTTCAGTTATTCCAAAAAACATTTAAAAAATCATCTATTGCCACAAAGCAGATTTTTTTCTATAAACGTTGATGCCTCTGCAATGTAAAAACAATAAAATGCTCATTTATAAAACAGATATGAGAAGCTAGATGAAGTTAACAACAGGACATCATTTCCTCTTCCCTGTCCAAACAAATATCACCTGGCCCGCACCAGGTCAAACCTTACACAAAGTAATGACTGCCTGCTGCCAAAGGTTCTCCAAAGCTGTCACACTGACATGATATCAGATGATAAAGAGGATATCAGTTGTGGCATCCAGCTCCTTGATTAGCTCCATAAGTATTAGAATAAATGCTCAGTGGAGAGTTATAAACTGTAAACTCACTCCTTCTTCCATTATTGTTCATCAACACACAGGCGGAGACACACACACACACATTCATATGAATGAATGTGTGTGTGTGTCCATTTCAGGAGGTGCCAAATGTGTGATCAACAGTGCAAAGCGAGCAAATCTCTTAATGAAAAAGATTGAGCTATGAAGTTAAGCACCTTGTCAAAATGGCAGACAGACACTTCCTTCCGAGTGATAGCACAGGGAGAGGTCACGACACATGGGTCATACCGGATGTACAAAGACTTTCACAGAAAGTTAGTGACCAGTGACATATCATCAAAGCAGAGAACAGAGCCTATGACCCCTCTGGTCAAGGACATAGACAAGATAATGAGAATTCATTATTTTTAATTGGGCAACCAGCACAGGATTTTATGTATAAAAAAAGATATCTGAGAGGAAAATCACAAAATGAAAGGTGGCGTGTTCTAAGCAGGATGCCCTCTGAAGCATCATGGGGTGATGCTTGGTTTGGCACTTCTGATACCGTTCAACAGTAACAGACAGAGAGGGTAGACCAATATTCCTGGATTTTCTTGAATTACTTAAGCAACAAGCTGACCATCCCTGCACTTTCTTTTTTTCAACCAAAGTGCTGTTCATGTGAGCTATTTCAGACAGCAGCATGGCTTTATAGTTAAATAAATTACCCTACATGCATACAATAAAAGTCACAATCTACGTGAATGAGCATTTGTCTATGGTTTCTGTGGATAAGTCACTGTGAATTCCTACCAGCTACAGGGGCTGCAAGGAGAGGGACAAGTGAACTAGTGAAATATGAGTGAAGTATTTTTATTGATAAATATGTTGAGATTCACACAAACCTTTAAAATTTGGATGTAATGGTCTAATTGTCAAAACGTAGTCTTCGTAGTCAATCAGAGGATACTTACTGAGATATATTTATTTATTTTCTTAATTTTTCCTCTCATTTAGGATAAAAATAATCTACCAATATTTCAATACCTGGAAGGTTCTGGCTCTGCGATGTCTCCCTTGAAGGTGGCATTGAGTTGCTTCTCTTTGGTTAGCAGGTCATCAATGAGGTTCTGCCTCCTGTCAGCTTCTGACTGCATTCTGGTTAGGACATGTTAAGGTCCTGCCAAAGGTCAACATTACTTTCTAATAGGGAAAAGTGTAGCTGTAAGTGTAGACACAAATATTTCAAAACACTCTGATGCCCTCTATAGGAAGACAATGGCTACTGCAAGCTAAGGAAACCTCCATCCTAAAATGTAATCTTGGTCTCATGACTTCCAAAGTTTGGAACATTGTCGCAAGAAAGGATACATGCGCCGAGATGATGAAGCTCGCAACAAACTCTCTTTGAGCTGGGCAATATTCTGTTTCAGCTTCTGCAGTGAGGCCCGTAGTGTCATGTTGATCTGAAAAGACAGAAGATATTCACACCAACTGACTACTAGAGAAAGAAACCTAACTATATCAGGAGAAATTTGTAGGCAATAACACTTTATTTGTGAATGTAACACCTTACCTTTGCAGGGTTCCCCCCTGTTCTCTGCTGCCTGTTCCTTTCATGAATGTTTTCTGCTATTTCCTGTGACAGGCGACAAGTGGCATCATAGTTCTGTAACCTGTAGGTCAATGAATGGGACAGAGGTGTAAATTGACCCATTATTACTGACTCATGACAAACAAGCAGCCACTGATAAATTAGGGTGGCAAGTTACATGATCAATGTGGTAATGAAGAAAACTAAAGACTGGATCCCTGGTCAGTGGGTTGGCACAGGGTGAAGGCAAATGATTTACGTGTTTCCTAATGTTGTGAAACCTATGAAAATATAAGAAGTGTATAATACCTTACAGCTCAAGGCAAGTAAATACACGGTAGTTTGTCTAGCAAGCTCATAATGTTCAGTGTTCAATTTTCAGACTGTCAGAAGGGTTTTATTAACCCGTTGGTCGTTTTTGATCCAGGAGTTTAATGAGTAAATATGTGTGTGTTTGCAAAAGCTGAATGAGCCAAACTGACAGCCTGAAAAGTTTGAGTTACACTGTATTAGCCTTTTATACAGCACAAATGTATGGAATTGTAGGGTGTTTATTGTTAGTATAGTTAGGTAGAGCGTCAGAGACTGAGCACAAGCGTAACATTTATCATGTGACATTTTTAGCATTCCCTGTTTCCTCTTTCAGCTCGGCAAACGTTAACCTAAGCTTTAACCTGAATTGTAAATAAAAAAACAATACCCTTTCCAGCACATAAACACAAAACATGATTATTTAATGGTTTGTTGAAGATGGACGTTATTGTAATTGGGCTAACAAAAAACGTTAGTATTAATAGGGAAGATCTAGCTACCACTTTAGCTAGCAGGATACATAAAGAGTAGCTATCAGGGTTAGTCGCGTCATTTGTAGTAGTTAATAATACAGTTGAGCGCCTTTGCACCGATAACTTACCACAAATCCTGAGACATTATGATAAATGTTGGCTAAGAAAAGAAAATCCACTTAGTATGAACCATCCGGCAGTAATCACCAGCAAACTGTTTCTTGTTTGGGTGTGACGTCACTACGGCAGGCTGCGAGGAACAGTTGACTGCAGTGTCGCGGTTGAACTTTTCAATGCAATTGGATTGTTTATCTTTACTATAATATACATGACATAAAATGTATATACATATAATCAACTTGCACATTCGAGTACAAAGAATTGCAAATGATATATTATCAAAGAAATGATGATCAATAATAAAATCTAATAATAAATAATAATGAATAATCTAATAATAAATCTTCTCTTCAGAAATTTGAACTCAATAAAAACCTTGACAGGACAGTTCATACTGCATGCCAGTGAAACAAGTAATATGTTTACTGTGAGTATTTACAACTTGCACGCAGCAAGATTTTCCACTCTTTATAGGAAAATTCCTTTTCATTTACTGGAAGAGATGCTTATTTGTTTGGCATATGAGAATGAGCACCTAAGTAAAAAGTGATGTCATGTAAACAGAACATTTTTCATATAATTGGTCATTTTTGTTAAAAGCCTCTGAGCAGCATGACAGAATACACAGAAAGTAAGAATATCTTGCTAAAATTTTTTTGTCCTTTCAGACTTCGTCACAATATGGGTCTCCACAGACTGAACTGTATCTAATGTGAATGGTATAGTATTGAGTATGAATTCATATCGCCCCAGCCTCCATGGAAACTGACATGAAGGAATGACTGCATCTTCACTCATGGTGCGTAGGAGTTTGTTTTTCAACTGAATTACATGTGAAGCCCACATATGAGATAAGTACTTGTAGACGTTTTATGTTTCATAACCAAACAGTGGTTGTGTTTGGATCACAACATATATCTGTTTTGTAGAATAATAACCTTTAAAAGATTTCTTGGAATAGATTCATTTGGCATTTTGATGCAGTTTCAGAGAAAGACCAATGTGATAAGATGAGATAAGATATAACTTAATTAAACCCGAAGGAAATTCTTGTGCCAGGTTGCTCAAAATTACAGTAACATCTAGAGAAGTGGCAAAAACAATAGTAACAATACAAAGCTAAACATAAGTGAACTATATTAACATATATGAAAAAATATATATACATACAAGATATAAATATAAAATCTACTGAGGTGTAAAACCAGATATTGCACATTATTGAGAATAAAGATACAGATGTTTAAGTGATAAGAAAGTGACATTAATATTATTGTTGTTGTTGTTGTTGATTACCTCTTCCTAATGACCTTATTCTGAATAATGAATGTTTTGATAGATTTCCCCATAAAATAAATCAATTAAATATAAAGTTCGTCAATTGCAATTGCAATGAGCAGTCCAATGTATAGAGTGAGTGGATGCATGTAAAATAAAGATAACAGTGTATATATACATTGCAGTGAGTAGGGTATTTGAAGGACACTAGGCCAAATCGTGTGTTTAAAAAAGTGCCCATGTTTTGTCATGTGATCTGGAAATTTTAATGCCTTGCATTTTGGGTCTGCTATGGGCACCGCTGTGGCTGCTGTCTAGAGACTGACTACTTACTTCTCAGAATGAGACGCATGTTTTATGAAAGTTAAACCAGGAAAATCAGTGGAACTTTTCACTTTCAGGGACTGAAATCACCACAAACAAAACCATGCTTGGCTGATGTGGCCACCTCCCACAGGCTTATATAAAGCCCTGATCCTCCTCAGAATGTACAGTCAGTAACAGGAGACATATCACATTCTTACTTGCATTTCTTTGAAGAACAAGACTGGATATGATTCATGTTTCAAGAACACCAGAGTTCTCCAATTGTGGAAATATGAATTCAATCTCAATGCACACCTCCTCTACCCAAGACCTGGGCTCTATGGTAGGAGGCAGCAGCAGGCATAGGTCTCACTCCTATTACAGCCCAGAGGACAAGAAGAACTATGGTATGCAGACACAGACAGACAAAATCTGTCTAAGACCTCGCTCCAGGTATGTTTTCACATTCTAGTTAAAAACCTGCACTGTTTTTGTTAGTGATCATAGCAGAGAGCAACAGGCATGTTTACTTATATTTATGCGAATTTGTCCTTTAATGTTTTGGCAGAATTGCACAACAAGCAGACCATAGTCAACATAACAAATACACAAAAGAGGTACAGAATTACTCAATAAATAATTAATACTGAATCAACTGTTTCCCAGGTCCTTTTACAGTTATGAAACATCAGAGCTTCACTCCAACTATGACATGGGAAACTTTGACCGGTCCAGTCCACTGAGACAGAGAGCAAGCTCCCTACACCTGCATCACGTGACCAAAAAGGAGAATAAAGAGGGGGATGGGGCTAGTGTTCGAGTCACCTTTAAGAAGTCTAAACTAAGCAAGCATTCACCCTCTAGAGAATTAAGTGGTACTGAAATAATGTTTTTATAATGGCATGTAGATTCTACTCCCAAAATGAGAATGATTTTTGAAAATTCAATTTACACTGTTTAGGAAAATAAAGATTAAAGCTATCCGTGCATGTTTTGCTTAGGCAGCAAAGGCAGTCTCAAGTCAGTGTCTATGATGACCATCTCTGAGTTGGGCAACTGGGAGATCTGCTCCAGCTCAGGAATGAAATATGGACAGTTTGTGGACTGGGAGATGATCGATCCTGAAGCTGCAAAAAGATACCAGCAGATCCTGAAGAGTGAGCACCAGCAGCTGAAAGCCATGGGCCGAGGAGGATTCTGGGCCATGCCGCACACGTTGAGGGCCAAAGCTTATTATCACATCATCCACAGCATCAATTCCAGGTTAAAACGGTCACATTGCATATCATAAATTCGAAAGCTTAAAAATGTCTTTTCTGGTATGAAGACAGGCATAGAGGGGAACTGAAATGACTTTTACAACAAAAGTGTGTACATTTTAATATAGATCCACTTAACCAAATGATCATCATATGAACTGATGTGATATATGCAACAGGTCTGGCACAGTAGACAGAGATGTCTTCTACGAACTGGCCAAGAAGCTCTTTGGAGAACAGAAAATCAGCTCCCACCCAGTCCCAGAGTACATGGAGGCAGGAGAAATACCTAGGTACTTTATTGGTTCATGCATCATTGACATGTTGCTTATACTACACGTATAGCTTATAAATAAAATTAAAAACAGGAAAACATACTTAACACACTAGACCTTAAACTACCAACATTTATTTGTTTAATTTTTACGTTTTTGGCACTAATGCAAAAAAAAAAAAAAGTGATGAGATTGGGATTCTTTGCTGTATTCCCAATTTGTGACAGTGATCAAATATGTATATTGTTAAATAAAAGTCTCACCGAGTGGAGTTTTAAAAAAGATGAATATTTATTATTACTGTGCATACACTCACTGTGCTTGCACTTTTCTTATCCAGATACTGTCTCAACGAAGCTGGTCTGAACTCTGCTAAGAAGATCCTTCTTTGCCTGGGCAGTTACTTCCCAGACATGAACTTTTGCCCCATCCTTCCTGCCCTGGTCTCCCTCATCATCCACTTCAGCCAGGATGAAGCTGAGTGTTTCCACAGTGTATCCCGACTTATCTGCTACAATGACCCCAACAAGCGTTACATTGACCAGACCTTCCTCACCTACCGCGCTTCCTGTATGACCTTTGGAGACCTTGCTAACAGGTGTTGCAGAGGCATCCGTAAGCTTATCGCCAGCTCTCACCAAAACCTCTTTGAGTTCTACTCTGACTGGATCATGTGGATCTTTGCCGATCTTCCCTTCACATACGCCATTAGGGTGCTGGATGTCTACCTACTGGAGGGCTACAAGGTCCTCTACAGGTTTGCTGCTGCTACATATTCACATGTAATCAAAATCCTTATTTCTGAATACTTGATTCCTAATGACATAACCATTACTTCTGAGTAACAATACAGTAAAAGTATTTCAAAATCATTCTTTGAAGGGTGGCATTGGCTTTACTCAGCCTCTACAAAGTATCCGTCTCATCTCGAGTGGCGGACGTGGAGGACTTCAGAACTGATATGAAAAGGTTTGTGCAGAACGTAGCTCGCCACTGCACAGTCGAGAAGCTTCTGGAGGCGGCCTTCATGATCCCAATGGCCACTCGGAAAGAGCTCAACCTCCTGTTCAACGCCAACAAGGACTCTCTCATGCAAAAAGGTGTCAGCATCCACCAGAAGAGGTTGGTTAATACAGAAATTGATACAGAACATATCTGTGAGAGGAACTGATGAAATATAAGATGAAAGATCATTAATGTACAGAACTTTTTATTGGAATGGTTATGTGAAAAAAATACTGTGTAATTTGAAATGTTCAAACTTCATTTTTTTTTTTTTTTATCTCATTTTCACATATCATCTCTAAAGGCAGTCTGTCGAGTCAGTGAACTTTACCAACTTCAGCTCCAGTGTTGTGACAGGGACTGAGATGAGAGTCGTCTGGGCCTGGATACCTGAGCGCTTTGCCCTTTTCAGTCCCATTAGGCTGTTTAATACAGCTGACCATGGAAGAAGCCTGGCTTCGTAAGTAACCTTTGTTCAATACCCTAATCCTGCCATCTTTCATACATCAAAACCCTTTATATCTTTCACCTCTCTCTGTTTATGCTGGCAATATTAAAAGAGGCCAGCAGGTCATTATGGATCAATAAACTCCTGAACACCATGTCCCAGCAGTGAAAAACAGTTTCCCAGGTCTTGTTACGCAACAACAGAAAAGAGGCAGCCTGTTTTTACTATAAACATGTTTGCTTTGAGTGTGATTGTCAAGTGACTTACAGTTTAGTGTTGGCAAATGTTGTTTATGTACAAATTGACCTCAAGTTGAAACTAATGATCCCTAAATATGTGTTAAACTCTCTTTTATTTTGTTCCACACAGTTAAAAAATGTTCCATATAGAAAATGGTCATTTCTCAAACAGCTTTTAAGTGAGTTCTGGCTACATACAAGTTTGACATGGAAAGATATTTTATCCATTGTGATCTTGTCTTGCATTTGAACCTTCCACCTCTTAATAAAATACAGCATCTTCTCTTCAAATGATATACAGTGA